GCACCTCACCTAAGTGGAATCATGTAGTGTGTGTACTTTCGTTACTGGCTTACTGCGCTCAGTGTAACGTCCTCAAGGTTCACCCATGTAACAGCATGCATTTCGGTTACCGTGATCGATAAGACGAGGAAGAATCAGCAGGTTCTGCATTGTGGCTGGATGCCAGGCTCCACCAAGCTCTTCACACACATGATCGTAGCTCATTTTAACTTCCAAGGCAAGGATCCCTGTGCTCTTGCTATTTTGCAGATGAGGAAGCTAAGGCCCAGAGAATTTAAATGATGGGCCCAGGGTCCCCCAGCCAGTCAGTGGGGAGGCTGTGGATCACGCTCAGGTCTGACCGATTCAGAGCACCCGCTCGTAGCCACAGGTCTCTACCCGCAAGAACTCAGCTCGCTGGACACGATGCCCAGCACGAAACAAACGCTCTGTGTGGGTAAACCACGCTGGCCGTTGTTGTTGTCATTTATTCTTTCACATCGGCACTATGCTCGACTCGGGGGTGCAGGAGTGACCACGCACACCTAGACCCTGTCCCCGCCCCAGGAGGCCCAGCTGGGCAGTCAGAGTGGAGGCTGTAACCTCCTCAAAGGCCAGGCTGTTTGGACTTGCCCGTGGATGGTGGGACCTCTCCGAGTCTCGGCTGGGAGCAGGGCCTGCCCGGCAGCAGGGCTCAGCTTCTCTCTGCTTCTTCCTGCCCTGGGGCTCAGCTCTTGCAGTCGCCTGTCCTCCAAACCAGCCTTCATTGCCCAGGAGACTCAGGGCCATGGGGAGCCCTGGGGCCCAGGGGGGTCCTGTGGGATTCGAAGGCATTGAGGATTTGTTTCTGTGACTCCAGCACTCTCCCACCTGGCTCAGCTGTCTTTCTATGGAATGCCACCTTAATGACAAGGTGACAAAGGCCAGGTGGGGGAGACAGCCCGTGGATTCCGTGCCACCATCACCAAGTTCATATGTGAGCACCCGGCCCCACCCCCTCGGTTTACACTTGGAGAGGCTCCTCCAGGAAGTCCTAATGTGTGCTAGGCCGGGACTAGACCCCTGGGGCCTGCTGCCCAGGCCTGCAGCCCCTCCTGCCCTGTCTGCCTCACACACCCTCATTCTGATGCCAGAAACCTTTCTTTTCACCCTGATGTCCCCGCATCCTGGCCCGCAAGTACCATCTGTAAGTGTGGGCTCTCAGTGAATTGAAACAGTGTGTGGGAGCCGCAGGCATTATGGGGCCTCTCCCACTCACACTGCTTTACGGGTGAGGAAACTGGGGCTCGGGACTCACCCAAGGCCTTCATTTTTTAACAGTAATAGTAATACCAACAACAAAAATTAACAGTTGCCCAGTGCCACCCAGGGGGAAAGTTCCGGGGCCTGCACGTAAGCCCGGTGGGGTGCCCAGGCCAGGCCCTTACCTGCCTCACCACGCCGCCCTCTCGGTCCCTTGCCTCCTGGTAGATCGTGGGCACTCGGAAACCTGGAGGGTTTGGGCTGGGGAGGGCTTCTGGGGATGGGGCCTGAACAGGCTTCTGGGGCCTGCAGGGGAGCCAGCCCACCCTGAGGCTGTCCGTGCCCCTCCACAGGGTCACTGGACACCCTCGGAGCCCCCGCCCGGGCCCTGAATGAGACCCAGCGGGCACTGGAGCGCCTGAGGCTGCAACTGGGCCCACCAGGGGTGCTGCAAGGGAAACTGAGGCTCTTGGAGTGGGAGTCTGAACAGCAGCAGCTGCAGATCCAGAGCTTCGAGAGCAACCTTGCTGAGATCCGTGCTGACAAGCAGAATCTGGAGGCCATTTTGCAGAGCCTGCCCGAGAGCTGCGCCAGCTGGCAGTGAGGGCTGCCCGGACCCACGGTGCCCCCGGCCCGGGGCATGCACGCCCGCCACAGGTGTGCCATGCAGGCACGCTGCCCAGATCCTGCTGCCACGTACCCGCCCGAGTCTGTGCCCACAGCCCCTCCACACCGGCAGGAGTGAGTGTGCATTCAGAGCTCACCCAGGCGGCTGCGGTGCGCACACACCCATCGGTGTGCTCTCCCACCCCCCACACACGCACACACACACAGGTACATGCGGACATGTGCCCGTGCGCGCAGCGCACACGTGTGCAAGTCCATCCATGTGTGGTGCACCCCCTCTGGATGCTGGGGGTGTCTGTTGTGTTATGTTATGTTGTTATGTTAAATGCCCTGTGACACTGACATACTCAGGCAGGGTTGGTACCTGGGAGGCTGGGACCGGGCAGGGTCGGGGGGTCATCTGCAGAGATCCAGGGCGGGTTCAGCAAGAGCCAGAGCCCCCAGTCCCAGCCCTGCCCTCTGTCCTGCAGCCCCCTGACCAGTGTGTCACCCGCCACGAACACCCAGCAGCTCCGCATAGCTGAGGGACCAGGCAGGTCAAAAGACACAGGATTCTGGGGGATTCTCAGCAGAGGAACCTGAGGCCCAGGGCTCCTGGGGCTGTGGTGCAGCCTGCTAGGCCGGCCGGGCCGTGGCCCACCCATGCAGGGGTATCTTTGGCTTTGTGGAATACTTCCTTCTCAAGATCCTGGGACTGGGTCAGACTCACTGAAGGAATCACCTGCCCCAGGCCCAGTGCCCCTTTTGGGCCATGGCCTCGTGACCTGAGGGGGCCTGGGTCAGGGGGCTCAGACAGGTCGCTTGGATCTTCCCTTTGTGACCCTGCCAACCCTGGCTGGCCTTTGACCGATCGACACTTCCCAAACTGGCCCTGCAGCCCTGGGGCCCCATCTGCCACATGGGAGGCCCTGCTGGGCGTGGAGGCCTGGCTGCCTTTCTAACCTGTCAGGCTAGGGTCTCCCCCTGTGGCTAGGCCCTGCCCAGGGTTCCCGGCATCTCCTCCTGGCACTCCTCCCCTTTCCCGGGCCCTCTTCCAGCAGACTGCGGGGCCTTGGCACTGGGAGGATGGGTGCCTCGGGGGGCCCAGCCCCTTCCCAGCGTTCTTCCTGCCCCCCAGCAGGGGTGACAGGCAGCAGCCCAGACCATTTCTGTTTACCCAACTCTGTTTAACGTGGCAATAAAGGGCCCCTTTACTAGCTGGTGGTGTGCCTTTGGTCCTCCGGTGCTGGTCGGCAGTGAGTCAGTGGCAGAGGGTTCAGTGATTCCTCTTGGCCCACGTGAGGTAGAAGGAAGGTGACAAAGCTGAGCCCATCGGCTTTGCCAGTGTCTTCCCACTGGGGGGACTCTGCTGGGGTCCTGCAACCCCAAGCATCTGCCCTCTCCTCTCTGCTCCGGGGGGCTTATTAGGCAAAGTCTAGGGCCTGGGGGAGTTTGAGGGGTGGGGTACAGAGAGGTCCTCAGGTGACCTCTGGCTCAGGCTGGAGACACCGAGGCAGGAAAGGAACTCAAAACCAGTGTCCAGCAGCGCAGAAAGGCTCAGGGAGGGACACCAGTGAGGAGAGGAGGAGGGCTTTGGGCCAGGCCTCAAAGGGTGGGGAGACAGCGGGGAACATTCCAGGCAAGAGGGTGGGCAGCAGCGCGGCACTTGCAGGGTAGGGGCCTGGCCCGCACGGGCCACTCCAGGAACTCAGGTCGCGGGCGGGATTATGGTACATGCTCAGTCAGGGCTCTTGACCACGAGGCCTGCCCCCATCCCGGGTTGGTTTAAGCAGAAAAGGGGAGTTCGTTGGGAGGACTTGGGAGAGTCTCCTGGAATCCTGGGGTAGGAAGGGCTGCCAGGCTCAGAGATGGTTGGGGGCCGGGGCCTTGCCTCGCCCTTCCCTCCCGCCCCTCCTCTGCCTCGCCCTTCCCTCCCGCCCCTCCCCTTGGTCTCTGCCTCTGCTCTCTCCGCGTTTACTTTGTTTTCTTCTCTCTGCAGAGCAGCTTTCTTTGCTTTTCTTGTGCTTGATGGGAGAGAATGTCCCCACTGCCCCCACCTGGACCCACCATGGCCCCCATGTTTACTTGTCATCAGGTCAAAAGCTTGGCAGAGACAAGCTGGAAAACTGACCTGATTCCAGCTTCCCAGGAGGGACCAACCCAGCTTAGGCCGGGTCCCCTCCCTACTCCTGTTCAGAAAATCAAGGGTCTCTGGGTCCAAGGCCATAAAATGAGAGCTGGGCTGTGCCTTCCCCACCCCCGCAAACTCACTGGGGGAGAGCATTCAGAGAAGAGGTGCACTCCTCCACGGAGAAACTGAAAACCGAGGCCAGGGGTAGCGGGGGTGACGTGATGCACGTCAATGACCCAGGGAGTAAGCTGGTAGGTTTGGGAGGGAGGACAGGGGGTGGGGAGGCCAAAACAGGAGGTTGCTGCTCTACTGTGAGTTTGATGATTGATGTCTGGTGTAAGTGGTGTCAAGGAGATGGGGGTGCTTTGCAGACCTCTGGGGCGGGGTCTGATGCCCCCAAACCCTCTTCCCTGTTACCCAGCTTCTCTGCTGACAGAGGCACACAGCTGTCCTGATGCCTGCTCTTGGCCTTAAACCTTTCTCTGCTCAAGCCGTGGGGGGCTCAGCAAGGCCCAGTTTCAGCATCCCCAATGGGTGGAGAACAGGCTTCCTCTCTGTCCCGCGGTGACATACCTCAGACCTGACATCTCATGACTCATGCAGTCCAGTCATGCTTCGGGTGTAGAGAGCCACTCTGTGGCCCCAGAGGTGGGGCTGTGGCTGGGTGGAATGTGGCAGCTGCTGAACATCTGGCTAGCAATGCAGCCCAGCAGCTGAGCAGTTGAAGATGGGGTGGCCTCTGCCCTGCAGAACCAGTGACTGGGGCCAACCAGCCCAGGGCAACAGGCTCTCTGAGCCTGAACCAGGAAGTGCATTATGAGGGTCCCATTCTATGTCAGCTGTCTTCTCTGACCTCCAGACGGGACATCTCCCAGCAACTAAGGGTTATAACTCCTATCTGCTTAAACCACCCTGATGGTAATAAAATTTATAACAGCCCCTGCTGGGTGAAAAGCGTTGTTTCCTCCATTCCATTCTGCAGAACAGAAATGCCGAGTCCTGTTTCATAGAGGTTTGAGAATTAAATGATGTAACACATATATCCTGGGTTGTGGCAAAGTGCCTGGTGCCCAGTGAGCGCTCGAGAAAAAAGGTTTTATTAACAAAACACTAATTCGTTCTAATTGATTTCAAGTGTCACTGATACCCTAGAGGCACTTTGTCATTATGCATTTTCTCAAGAAACTAAAAGTTTGTTCATCTTTCAAGAGTTCAGACTAAAGTTTGGGAACCTAGGCCTCCCTTCCAAAAGTGCGTGCTGCGCAAAAGGCGAAAGGCACGTTACAGCTCCCGGCAGCTGGGACCCGCATTTGATCTTTATAGCCATCCCACGAAGTGCGTACTAAGGTCGTCCACGGTCTGTTTAAGGGGAAACCGCGGCCCGGAGCGGGAAGGGACTGGTCGAGGTTCCTGCAGGAGCGGAGAGGGAGGTGCTCACAGGCGGCCCCCGCGCCGTGCATTTTCCGCGTCCTCCAGCAGAGGGGCCGGCGGCGGGCTCGGCGTCCAGCATAATAGCCGCTTTGATGCCGGGCGGCGGGGAGGGAGGAGAGGGGAGGCGGGTCGGGAGGGGTGGGAGGGAGGGGAGTGTCCGGCCGCCCGCGCCATCCCTCCGCCCCTCGGTCCCACCGCCACACGCCGCGCGAGCTCGGACCAGGCGCCCGCCCCTCCTCCTCGTCCTCGCCGCGGTCGCGAAGCCCCGAGCCGGCGGAAGCCCGGTGCTCACCATGTCGGTCGCGCTCAGCAACAGGTTCCAAGGTAGGTGCCGCTGTCCCCACGCTGTCCCGCGCCCCTGCCCACACCCGGTGTCCCCCGCCCGCCACCTGTGCGCACGGGGCGGTCGGTGGGGTCTGCCGCGCGCGGGAAGCGGGCGCGAGCCGAGGGCGCGCGGCCCGGGGAGACCCCCGCTTCCCCGGCCGCCTCTTTGTCTCCTCCAGGAGGGAAAGCGTTCGGTTTGCTCAAAGCCCGGCAGGAGAGGAGGCTGGCCGAGATCAACCGGGTAAGCGCGCGCCGCCGCCTTCGCTTTTCCAGCCCCGCCGCCTCCGAGGGCAGCTGGCGAGTCGGCCCTAAAGCTCCCAGCGCTCCGCGGGTCCCACCTCCGTCTGCGCGGCTGTGCCTGCCGCAAAATCAACCCCCCTTCCTCCCCTTCACCCGGGCTTCCCCCGATTTCTTTCCTCCAGCCCCCTCCCTGTGCCTCCAGGTAGGTCCCCCTCCACCCCGTCCACCGCCCTCTGGTCTCGGGTTGCAAGTTGTTACTCATAGACTAGGGAGGTAGGGCCCTCCCGGGAGCTCTGATGCCAGCCCGGCCCACCGGCCCCGGGCTCCCCAGGAGCCGGCCTGGGACCAGCTGCAGGGACTTGGCGCTGGAAGAGACCCCTGATGTCTCGAGTAATTCCCAGTTTTACAGCGAGGGACGGAAGAGAGGCTCGGAGAGGTGAGGGGGCTGCCCCTAGATGGCACAGCAAGTCTGGGTCAGGCTGCAGTTAGAACCCTGGGCTCCAGACTCACAGGCCAGTGCTCGCTCCACCCAAAAAAAGGTTGGCCTCCTGCCTCTCCCCACCCCCCAACACACAAACACACACACACACACAACTCCTTCTTACTCAGGCTTTTAGGAAAGGTTGCCTTAGAGACTTGGTGCTTTTCATCCTGATCCTAGTGGATTTCTAAAAAGAAATCCATCCGGCTGTTGCCAGGCACACAATGGGACGTTTTAGACCTTTGCTTAAACACCATTCAAATGGGCTCCCCTGGTGGCGCAGTGGTTGAGAGTCCGCCTGCAGATGCAGGGCACACGGGTTCGTGCCCCGGTCCGGGAGGATCCCACATGCAGCTCCGGCTGGGCCCGTGAGCCATGGCCGCTGAGCCTGCGCGTCCAGAGCACACGGAAGAGGCCACAACAGTGAGAGGCCCGCATACCACAAAAAAAACAAACAACAAAAAAAAAAACCTCCATTTAAATTCTAGAAGATATGGAAAACTGTTAGGGCCTGCCTGGATTGGCCAAAACTCAAAGGCAGCACAGTAAGACTGGGGCTCAGATCTGGTCTCCATTATGTACCAGCTCTGTGGTCCCCAGCGAGGACCTCTCATCACAGAGCCGGGGTCTCCGTGAGGGCTCCATGAGGGAAGGCATGTTACGTGATTGGTCCAGCACCTAGCACAAGAGAAGACCTCCATGGATGGTACTAGGATTACTTCTTGAGGAGAATGTCTCCAGGTTTCCTTCTAACTGGTTGCAGAATCATGCCCACTGAAACACGGCTGGACATTTCCCCTGCAGGCTCCCCCGGGCCACTGGGCACCCAGCTCAGAGTCCCACAGTGGAAAGTCAGCAGGGCCCTGGTGGAGTCCATGTGGAGGTGGGTCCACGGTTGGCAGCACGGTTGTAGTATAACTCTCGACAGGGGCTTGCAGTCTTTATTCGCTCCTTGATTTCCTTGGACTGCCTAGAGCTAGGCAGCCTGCCTGGTTTCATTCCACTGGCCGTGGAGTCCCATGGAGGTTCTGGGGACCCCAGGGTCCCTCCAGGTAAACTCTGGCCTCCTCATCGCCATCCTCATCTGGCCTCTTAGTGCCATCTTGAGCACAGCTGAAAGGGAGCCTGGGCGTCTGGCTGGGGCTCTCGGGGGTCCAGGCTGCTGGGCTCCCCCCCAGTTCACTCTGCGGCCAGCTCAGCCTTGGTCTTGGCTGCTTTGGTCCTCTGGACAGGAGCCTGGAACCCTGACCTCATACAGCCCCCTGGGCCACTCAGCAGGCTGGGTTCCAAGCCAGTTGAATCCACCCACAGCCAGAGGACCCCGGGCCAGAGACAGCTGGAGATGGGGGAGAGGGGATTGTAGTTGGACAGACCAGAGGAGCTGAGAGTGTGTGGGACTTTCCATGCCAACACTGCCCTTGGGGGGATGGGGGGATTAGGTGGGGTGTGGATGTGAGGCCACAGGGCTGTTTTGGGAGGTGTACTGGCTTGGCTCCGAAAGGGGAGGGGCTGTGGCTCTCTGGGGCTGGTCTGGATAGCGCTGAGATTGGGGAAGGTGAACAAGAGGGGGCTGTGTCCAACCACCTCGGGACCCCAACGCCCAGAGAGGGCAAGCAGCTGGCCAAGGCCACACCGAAGCCGGTGACAGAGCTTCCAGCCTAGCGTCCTTTCCCCGACTGGATGCTACTCTGAGACCCACCGTGTGAGCCCGGGCTACTGTCAGGTTGCTGGGACCCAGGCTCTGGGCTCCCGGAGGAAGGAGGCTCAAACCAGAAGCTTGAGCTGCTTCCCACCACAGCAGGTCAGGGTGGCCCCACCACAGTTTAGAGTCATGGGCAGAGGGGGCTGTTCACTGGCTCTGTGACCTTGGGCAAGCCACTTGAGATGATGGTAGCAGGTTTGTTGTGATTTTGCGGCGGAGATAATCTATGTAAAGCACACAGGAGAGCGGGCTGCTGTCTTGATTGCTATCATTGGTTTGTTTGGGACTTAAAAGTGTGGGAGTGGAAACCCAGGGGCAAGGTCTGAGGTAGACTGGCTGCTCGGCCTGGACCAGACCCCTTTGTCGGGCAGAATCTTATCTTCCCATGTCTGAAATGGGAGCAGAGACCCCTGCTCTGCTCTAAGTCCCTGCAACAATCGGAGGAGATGAACAGACGGAAGCTCCTTGCAGACACTTCAGGGAGTCGCTGTGTTTGAGGGTCCGAGTCGGTTTTACCCACGGCCACGGCCATGGTGGAAGTTCCCTTGGGTGGATGGATTCTGGAGGGAACCACGTTGGCAGTCCAGATTGCCTGCCTTTGGGCTGCAGCTTCACTGCCCCACTGGAGGGGGGCTTCCGGGGGGCTGGGCTGAACAGCTGCCCCAGTGGTCCCGTGGAAGCCAGCAGGCGTGAAGGATGGGGCTTCGTGACTCACTGTATGTGCTTGGGCACCACTGCGGCTGCTGCCTGGGGCAGAGCCCAGCCTGGCTATGAGCTCTGGAGGCTTCTCTGGGCCAACCGTTCCTCTGGGGCCTTTCTCCCCGCTGGGATGGGCCAGCTTCCAGAGGGCAGTGGGGTAGCTCAGTCTTGGCTATTGTGCTTATAAGGAGTCAAAATAGAAGGGGACTTGGGTGGACCTAAAGGTCCTGGTGGAACTGTATGAAAACCCACTTTTTTGGGGTTTCACTCGAGATTTTGCTCTCATTTTCTGAGCCCTTGGCGTGTGCCAGGCAGTGTGCCAGGCGTGCTTCAGACATTATCTCGTCGGATGTGCACTCCAACCCTGCGAGTGTCTGTTCCCATTTTGCAGGAGACGTCAGAGGGCCTGAGTAAATTGCCTGGGTTTAAACAGCCACACTTGAACCCAGGCTCTTCTCTCCATTTCTGGCCTTGATTGGGGCTCCTCTGTATGTGCCCGCCCCACCTCCGGGCTGTATGTGTGTGCGTGCGCGTGCGTGCTCTGCACCACTGGAGCGGGCAGGACCAGCGCGCGTCTCCTACTCCCCCACATAGCTAACATTCCCCGCGCCCTGATGGCATGGCAGGTGACCCCGGGCCAGCCGGGGCCGGCCTTATATGGCAACGGGACAAATTCCCTCCAGCTTCCCACAGGGACAGGGGGAAGCTGTGGGGCTGGGTGGGTGCCCCTCAGAGTGCCCTTAGCCTTGGAATGGAGCAGGAAGACACTGGAGGATGGTGAGAGCTGTGGCTTTGCACCCGCCAGAGGCCAGGATCTTTAACAAAACAGCATGAGTGGTGCCTTTGCTCCGGACCTGGCACTTGACGTAAATCATCTCACTGACTCCTCTCAATGGAACACTGGATTAGATAGATGCCCAGCCAGAGTCTGTAAACTTCCCCATGAGACAAGGATTACTAAGCCTCCCATTTTACAGATGAGGAAACAGAGGCTCAGCCAGGTGAAGTCACCCAGCCAGGAAGTGACACAGCCGGGATTCTGTCTCCGGACGCTGCCCCTGGCCCGCCCTGGCCCCTGTCCACCAGGTGGCTGTGGCCTCGCTGTGACACAGGCCTCTCTTGCTTATGTGGATAAGGATCTCTGGCTACTGTCCTGCCCTCTCAGCCGTCCTAGGTCGAATGAAGGGCACTCAGCATTCCCTGTAGCATTTCGGTGCCTGATGGTTATTTCAGAACCCACGTGGCACCTGTGCTGGGAAGAACTGGGTACGGCAGGCTGGATATCTCTACCTGGGGTGAGGCTTGTCCCCAGCCCTTCCCCCAGTAGTGGGGGACCTCTGAGACCTGACCCAGGCACTACACAGGTGTGTCTCTTTTCCTGTGTACTGGCAGTGCCACCCTGTCCCTGCCCAGGTGAATGTGCCCAGCTGGCATCGCCGGGCACCCGTCTCTCTTGCTCTTCCTTAATATATTATAAGGGAGATGGTGATAAGGGGCCACGTGAGCTTCTGAGGATTCAGTGTCCCCGCAGGTCCAACCAGTCTCGACCTCGGTGTGGCCATGTCGCAGGAAGCTGGAGATGGAATTTCTGCAGGGTCTGCTTCATTTGTGTAGTCAGTGGGGGTGTTTTTCTCCAGCTGCCCCATCTATTGGCGAGGGCACAGCGTCCGGATGAGGCCCCAGAGCTGCCGTGGGGAATGTGAGCCTGCTGTCCTCGTGGGTGCACGTTACAGGCTCCTGCTACACGCCAGGCACCGGGCCGGGCGTCTATGGCCTGGCCCTGGCCCTTTAAGAGCCTGTGGGCTGCATCAGAGGCCACACGGCCAGGCATCGTGCTGCCTGTCCTTGGGGTTTTCCCCCAAGGCTTCAGCCACCAGCCCCTTGGATGGCCTCCGAGATGGTGCTTATCTGCCAGCCCTAAAATTCTGCTGCCGCTAATTCATAAAGGCAAGCCTGGAGGGCCAGGAGCAGGTGCTAGAGGTACCAGCCCAGAAAGAGAGTTAAGTCAGGGTGGGCGTTGGGGGGTGCAGGCAGGTGGCAAAGGTCTGGAGGCCGGGACACAGCAGGGGCTGCCAACCTCTGCTGGTTGGGGAAATAGCCCCTCCTGGTCATGAGCACTTGGACGGGGCTCTCAGGGGGTGGGGGGAGTCTCTGATGTGCATCGGAGGTTGCAGATGACCAAGAGAGGCAGCAGTGAGCCCGTGCAGCTGCAGGCACCGTCCCTCGGGGCTGAGATGGGTGCACTCTGTCCTCCGTGGATGGCCAGTCACGACCAGTTCAGCCATAGGTATCCAAGGACAAAGCAAAGTTTGTCCTCGAGGAGGAATGACCAGGGGGTCAAGACTCACCAGGAGGACTTCGTGGCACAGTAGGGGACAAAGAAAGTTGTGGGTGGGTCTCTCCTCTGCCTTTCCCCAAGAGTTGTCTCTCGGTGTGGCTTGAGTTTGGGCGATCCAAACGCACAATGATAATCGCTAACCGTTAGTAAGTATACTAGGAGCCAGGCTCTTTCTATGCAGTTCGCTCATTTAATCTTTACGCCAACCCAGTGAGGAGGTTCTATCTTTATGATTCCATTTTGCAGATGAGGAAACTAAGGCCCAGAGTGGTAAGGCAAGTTGTCCAGGGCCACAGAGCTAGTAAGTGCTGGAGCTGGGATTTGAACCCTGGCAGCCCGAGTCAACCTCCCTGCCCCGTCCCTCTGCCTTGCACGCCCTGTACTTGCCTAGAGGAAGGATGGTTTCATCAAGACCTTGCCCTCTGGGCCTCAGTTTCCCCAGCTGTTGAACAAAGAGAGCAAGCCGGATGCTCTGAGGAGTCCCTTCTGGGTTCTGTGACTGGGTGGATGTTGGAACAGCTCTGCCACCTCCCTGGGCCTGGCCTGTGGACACTGGCTTGAGAAGCGACTGCCTGGTTCAGAGCTTCCTGTTTTCAACCCCAGGCTCCTC